CATCAGCAAATGCAAGTGCATATACCAGCCCTTCTGCAGGACCAGGCACAAATGTCAGTGCATACACCAGCCCTTTTGCAGGACCAGGCAGCCAGCCTTTACTCAAGACCAGCGCCTGCCTCAATCCTCATCCTCAGAGGCCTCCAGCTCAAATGATCCATGACTGCGCCTTAGGTGCATGGCCAGCCTCCAGCGCCAAGCCACCTTTGCTGGACCATGTGTGGACTGGTTCCATTCAGACAGTGATGGGCTATGGAAGACATAAATCCAACCATTGTTTCTCCTGTGTATGTTGCCACAAACTTGCAGTTCAAAAAGGCACATTGATCAGGCATATGTGCTGCATAATGCATTTTTGGGATGGTATTCCATTGTAGCCTGTTTTCAGACATTGAAATCTTTGCCAGCTTCGCATAATGGAGAAGGCACAAATTGGTGCGCTTCTGGAAAGCTTTGCTGGCCTTTGCTGGAAGATGTAGACCAAATCCTTCAATTGCTTCATACATGTGGAGCAGTTGCTTGATACAATCCAGGCGATGCTTTTGGTAAGGTGTCTCATCATTGAACTCAGTGCAAATATCAACAAATGGCTCAACTAAATATCTGATGTGTCTGGCCTTGTAGCCACTCAAGTCAGGAAAGAAGCCATGTTTGTCCTTGACATTGCAAAAGTGACTGAAGCCAAGCTTCCTGATTCTGTTGCTGCTGTCCACACCAAGTTCTGTATATTCTTGGCAAATCCTTTTGAACAGTGCCTTCAGTCGAAGCTCTTGAGAAGCACCAGGGAAGTGTGCTCTGACAATCATGTCAAACATGATGTTTGCAATAATGTGCCCAGTCAAGCCTTCTTCAAGGATATGCAGGCAATCATAATGAAAAGAATACCCATTCACTCCTGGCACTGTTGGTATGACATGATCAGTTGGACAGCACCCATTGTGGGAAATCTTTGCGCCTCTCCAGGCTGCTCCAAGCCTATAGTCATTGTGGGGACAATCTGATGTATTGGCCCTACAGTTGAAGCACATGGAGGAATGGCTAGCGCCTGCTAGCTTCATCTCATTTTGGTAGAACTCAAGATCTCCTGTTATGGCAAAGATGATGCCCTTGTAGCCATTGTGCAATTGCTGGCCTGCATTTAGGGCCCTCTGACTTTTGGGTGGCCAGGCATTTCCAAGGTAGTCTGTTTCTGGGAACTTACCATAAAAGAGGTGCTCCATGCTCCAAGCAAGGATCTTCCAGATCTGGCGCATTGTGTCCTTGCCAGCATCTGCTTGACATTTGTGCATGGCCGTTTTTGGTATTGCTGCCAAAAGCATCTGTGAGTGAGCAACACTTGCTTTTGATAGCAATGACCTCATGGATATGACCATGATGGAATCTCCTCTTTGAAATGAGCCAGCATCGAAGAAACTTGCTAATGTCTTCCTCAGCAGCTGGATTGTTCACAAATTTTGGATCTCCCATATCATGTTCTGCCCAGAACTGTTCAAGGTGGCTGAACCCACTGGCCAGCTCCTGTTCAAGAAGCCAGGGCAGCCATTCATGGGGCAAGAACAGTGCCATTGGCTTCAGCCCAAGCACCCAATCTTCAGGCGTCTTGACAGAAACAGGAACTTCAGGGAAATATGGTTCTGGCAATGTAATGTTGTCTGCTTGGCAATACTTTGCAATGAGCTGGCTAGCAATGTGGCTTCCATTCCTGCCATAGTTGCCCAGGCTCGCCAACTCTTGCATATCCGGAGAGGTGGCACCACTCTTTGTGGCAGCAAGAGCAATGCCCTGGAGAGAGGGGCCCTCAGACAAACAAGAAAGAAGCAAATGCAAAATTTCAATACAAGCCTGGGCTTAATTGCAGGCAAGGTTCTGACATTCCTGAAGCAAAGTGCTCCAAAAGGCACAGGCCAAGGGGTGAAAATTCAACATCATGTTTTACATCTTCCTGTTCAACCTGTACCTTTTTTCTTTTCCATTTACTCATGGGGGTGCCCTTCTCCAAGACCCTCACTCCAATAGAGGAAGCCCTTCTGCAGGACCTCTTCTTTCCTAGGCAGCTTTGTGCCAAAACAAAAGCCTTCAGCACTGATTTCATGTGTTTTCCAAACTGAAGCAGCTTGTTTGGTTCCCAAACATGGACAAACATTTTTTCAAAGGCCTTGGCTGGTGCAAGCTATCTTTGCAAGAGCCCTTTTCCAAGACCCTATATGGCTTCTGGTGCAATCTGTCTTTCCAAGAGCCCAGTGCAGGACCCATGGGGTTGCTACAGCCCTTGCTCAGGACCCTGAATTTTTCCCAGCAATCTACAATCTTTTTGCTTTTTTGATGGCGTGAGCGGCTTCAAAGAGTTCATTTTTGCAGCTCTCAAGACTGATGCTCTTCTTGGAGGCTAGCTTCTCCAGCTTGGATAGTGTCCCTTCCAAAGCTTTGCCCTTGGCAGGGGCAATGTCTTTCTTCACCTTCTTCACCAGTGAGGCCATCTTTTTGAGCCTCTTGGAAGCCTCATCCTTGCCCATCTTGCCACCAACCTCACTCAGCAGCTCTGCTTCAACTTCATGTTCATCCTTTTTCACCCCAGAGCCAGAAGACTTGTTGCCTTCAGCCCCTTCCTCTGAGTCATCTTTATCCATGAGGGCAAGAGCATTCTGTTTATTCTTCTTGACAGCTTGGCCAGGGAGTAGGGCTGCCAAAGCATCTTCCCCCTCTGTGTTCTGGCCACTTTCCAAGAGTGCCATGCCCTTCATTTGAATCCACTGCGCTGCCTCACTCTTGCCACCCTGAGACATCTCATGCTTGTGATGCATCTCTGTCTGGCTGTAGCTGGTCATGGTCTCCATGCAGAACTGCCACTCCTCCTTGTCTTTGGGATCCCTTCTGCACCTGATGCTGCCCCTTTTCACCCTTCTCATGGTCTCATGAAGCCCACGTCGCCTCAAGATAACAGCCAAAGGGACCCACTCCTCTTGCTCTTTTGAGCCACTGGTCCTGCTGAGTGACATCATTTCCTTCTGGTAGACCTGAGAGTTTTTCAAGTCACCACTGCAATCCAAGAAGAGCTTGTTCTTCTTGAGCATCTTCTTCTTGTTCTCATCAGACCCTTTGCCTTTGCAGTGCAGGTTCCAAACCTGGTCCTGCTCAGGGTCCTTGCAAGCAGATCTGGCTGAAGAGAATCTCTGCCACAAGCATTCTCTCTGGCCCTTTGTCAAGGTGTCCAGAAAAGAATTGATGTCTTGATTTTTGCTCTTGTGCCATTGCTCCATCTTGTCATCAAGGGACATACCCTGGGTAGGCAAGCCTGAGAAGTCCAAGTTGGCTGCAGGCTTCTTGTGGGTTTTTGGTCCTTTGGTTTTCTTCACCAATTTCTTCATTGGTCCCATCCTCCTGAGCACTTCCCCAGTGCCCACTGCAAAATCCACAGAAAATCTACACTGGTTTGCCCAAAACTTTGAGCACAAAAACACTCCAAAAAAATGTTTGTCCTCATATGAGCTCATATGAGCAGGTCTTGCCTCATATGAGGCATTTTTTGCCTCATATGAGGCACCCTTGCCTCATATGAGCTCATATGAGCTCATATGAGGTGATGTGCTTTCCCAATGCTGATTGTGATTTTGTGGTGGTGAGAGGTCTGTAGATAGAGTTGGGTGTGATGTTCAGGGGGTGTGAGAGACTCTGAAGAGTAAGTGTGGCCATGCCCAAAAACAGTCAGCGCACACTTTTTCTGCAGGCCATGTGGGCAGTGCACTGCCAATGCTTCAGCTTGAGCCCTTCCTCAGGACCCTGGAGCCCTGCTCAGGACCCCTGGCACACAATGCCCTTTCTCAGGACTTGTTTTGTGGTCGCCTTTTTTCTGCCAGCCACCATCTTCCTCTCCAGCCTGCTCTTTCCCCTCTTCCTTCACAGGCTGCTTGTCACCTACAGGCTGCTTCTCCACCTTCTGCTCTTCTTCCTGCTTCTTGGGCTGTGGCTTTGCCTTGGCATTCAGCCATGGTGGCCTGTGTCCTGCAATCATACAGGGCACTTGGTTTGGAGTAAGAATTGCACATAAGTGTCCCTGCAAAAAACATCAGCAGCACAAACTGTTTCACCACCAACCGCTTCCTTCTTCTTCTCCTTTCCCTTTCCCCTCCACCACAATGCTTGAGCTTGAGCTTGAAGAGGAGGGGCTTGAGGTGCTGGAGCTGCCCTTCCCACCTGAAAGCATTGGCAAAAAGGTTAGCATTACTTGTGTTCAGCACTGCCAGGCCTCCACTGGTGCCTTTTCCCTGGGCACCTTCTCCTGCTGGAACAATCTATATAAAAAAATTCAATAGCTGTGCCCACCCCACCCCTCCAAAAGAAAACACACACAGAAACCTTGTTGGGCAGGCTTGTTGAACCACAGCATGTAGGAGGGCTGGTTCTTGTAGCCAGTGGACCTGTTTGGCTGCACCTGCTGCTGGTAGGTGGGCTGGGCCTGGTGGTACTGTTGCTGGTAGGTGGCCTGGTATTGCCATGCATTGTGCTGCCAAGCCTGCTGCCAGTGCCAAGCTTCTGCCTGGCCTTGTTGCCACCTCCAGGCTGCTGCTGCAGCCTCCTGTTTGGCCTCCTGCTTTTCCTTGTTTCTCAGGAGCCTCTG